ATATATATATATATATATATATATATATATATATATATATATATAATTTCTGTGTAGTCGGCAGTGTCTAACTGAACGCGAAAAAGTGCACGGGATTTAGCATTGCGCTGAACAACAGATGTATGTGGGAGAGCTATCTGCCACCGGGGAATAACATCCAAGATGAAGCAAGGCTGAGAAGCAAAATAGTTGTTTAAAGCCATTCGAGAGAACGGAATCCGTGCATAATGCCACATAAAGAACAAATAAAAGTACGCTAAACTTGTCATTTAGGATAAGTGCATTTATTATCAGGCTCTGTGAGCAAGGCTATTGGAGACCATCTCATGTAATCAAACAAGGATAGCGACAGATGGATGGGATAGCCATGGACAGTCCACCAGGACCGATTCTTGCGGACATTCTTCTTGGTCTCCTAGAAGAAAGGATTAAAGAGGACATCTCAAAACTAGATCTATACTGTCGCTATGTTGACGATATCTTCGTCATAAGCAACATCAAGGAAGACGGAGAGAACCTATTTCATCAGCTCAACACAATTCACCCCAACATTCAGCTTACTCGTCACGACGAACGGGATGACCGCATCGAGTTTTTAGACATAAATATTACTCGTCGTCCAGATGGAACAAGTAAAAGATCTCTCTTCCGTGGTCTGGGCAATACTTGCATTTCACGAGCTTCGCTCCCATGCGATACAAAATTGGTCTCGTTCGCACACTTTTTTATCGAGCTCGTGAAGGACTGTTTAAACGATGAAAGAGACGTATTAAAAGAAGCACTACAAGCAAATGGATATTCAGGTGCATTCATCGTCAAGCACAGTAAAGTAACACCAAAAATAGGCAACCCAATAACTGTCCCCAAAAAGGAAAACTTTTTTGAAGTTAGTACACAAAGGCGATGACGTGAGTGTATTAGTTAGCAAGCGATTGAACTCTGCCGCCAAGCTGGTCTATTACGCAGTTGACTCATTCATTGTCTTCATTACCACCCTGATACCAACGACATCGGTGATAGAACCATTGCCCCTCAAATTGCCCGCCAAATCAAATTTTATTTACCAATTCAAGTGTGGGTGCTCGGCCATCTACATAGGCAGGACAGAGAGAGGCAGTTACGTTACCGAAGGGCCGAATACATCCCGGTGCGGCAATGGACGACAAGTTTGTAATTGTTACGTCATCGAATGATCAGAAAAAGCTTAGGTCTTCAATAACGCAACACTTATTCCAGCAAAAACACTGTCACTCCACCCCAGGCATTCCAGGTCACTTACAATACAGCAAACACAAAGTTACTGGAATTTGCCGAGGCACTAGCCGTTCATACTCTGAAACCCGATTTATGCAAACAACGTGAATGGTTAGTCACATTAGCTTTGCCCTGGTGATTGACTCCGTACCCTCTCTCGTCCCCCTTTTTATGTTGTTGTGTTGTGTTGTCCGTTGCGATCTTGTCTTCGTCTTACATTTGTTATCCCACTGACTATAGAAAAATCACTTGATTGCAGTATGCACGTGTACAGATGCAGCGAAATGACCATGGATACATTGTGCAAACCCATGTTTCTGACTTGTCTGTTCAAACCGTAACTCAGTATGGACTATCGGTATCCAATACCGGAATTATAAATTGTGGCATCAATTACCACAGCACCTCATATATTCCACAGTAATGCAACAATCAGGGAGTTGAAATCAAGAAACCATTCTGCTAGAGACTCAATGGTGGTAGACTGCGAGAAACCCATTTTTCAAATTGAAGTTCAACTGCTACTAGTAACATGCAACCAAAGACTTTTTGCTAATGCCCCAGAAGCTGAGATCTTCATTCGCCTGCTAGTGTGTGTATCCAGGTTGAAAATAATACGATTGTATTTGTACATGCTTTGACCACGAAGCCACTTGTAAAATGAGGGAGTCGGATGAGTACACCTATGATCGTTAAAGCTTTGTGTGAGTACTTCACTAAACGCGCCTCGTGGTCAAGCCATTTTTCTGAAAAATTGGTTACAATGGAGTGGTAAGAAATTCGAATTATACGCTTCCGTTTATCACTTACTTCGCGCTAACTGACAACGAGGTGTCGCCGGCTACTTCAGCCAAATAACTGAAAGCGAAGCGCAGTATTTCTTCGCCCATTTCCATCCGTGTGCGCAATTTGTGACCGAACAGGAACCAGTCGTACGCAAGAGTAACGTAGAGCATTTCGAACGGGCTTAGA